ATTGGAATAACATAAATTATAATAAACAATAATTGAGTACAAAATTTATAAATTTAGTGACTATATTTAATCAACTTTAGAGAAGATCTCTCGGAGTCGTACTGTATGGTAATAACATTTATGGTACTAAAATCCATAATAAACGGTAATTAAACAATTCATTTGGTATTTTTTTCTCTCATATGGTAACGGTTTACCAAAAATTCTGGATTTTGAAATTATAGTTCTTATTTCCACGCATTGAGTAAAAAAACAAAAAAGTAACTTTTGAAAAATAAATTGTTTTTATTCCATATTTCTATATTATGCTCCAATGATAAAATTACTAAATGTTATCACATTTACTAAACTTATCACATATTATAAAAGCATATTTATTATATCAAAATTATTATCAATGCGCTTCGATAAAAATTCCTAAACTTCTTGGTGCTCCCATAGAGCCAGGAACATGGTAAATTTAACCGTATTCTTTTAGTTTTGACCGTACTTTTTTCCGCAGTATGGAATAAGGGGCTATTTATAAATGGTGTCGCTCTTGACGAGGAGGGGAGTTTGTGATACAGTGACAGTTTGTGACAAGGGAAGTGCGTGACATCCTATATTTTGGTTAGAATGAAAGTTTTAAAAAATCCGCAAACTTAATATTTTTTTAGCAAAACAAGTTTACAAATATAGTAATTATTAAAATAATTAATAGTAATTACTAAAATAGTAATTATATTTGTTATGCTCACTTATATCAGTTAAACATACAGTCGAAATTTCAAACAAAATTTTAAATATTATCTATAAGGTGGTGTTTTTTTCTTCTGAACTGCGAGTATATATTTATGTCATACAGCGTGACATATGACAAGAGGGGGTAAGGGTACGTAAGGGGTAACACTTTGTGACAAAGGGGAGAAGGGGTCAAAATTATTGAAAAGATTGTGACATAATTTATTAACGGTCCCAAACTTAAATAAGTGCTAATTGATTGAAGGAAAACATTATAGTAATTATATTTGGCAGTTTTAAATAAGATTAGAATTAGAATTGGATCAACAATTAGAACTAGCAACAATCGAGTATAAAATCTAACATTACAATAACTATATTTAATGGTCTATTTATAAAATGTTACAAATATATTATGATTGCAGATTTGAAAACTTATTTTATTTATTTTTGTGATACAATAAAAGCATCCATTTCATTTATTCATTTTGTATTCCCTAAATGTTGAAAAACATTTGGGAATTGCATTGTATTTCTTTGTGAGATTAAAGATCTATAACAAATCCCTTGTGAATTCTTGTGATAGATTACACAGTATACGAAGATATCTTGGATATATTAACACACTTTTTTTGTAGGCACCCAAGTTATTCTTATGCGAGTTGATTTGGTGTTTTACTTCTATTGCTACAGAATAGACATACTATATAAAGATTTTTAAAAGCAAAAGTATCGTTGCTAATGCTACAGAATAGAATAAAGTTTTTGCATAACGTAAAACTATCGTTGCTAATGCTGCAGAATAGGCATAGTATATGGAGTTTTTGCATAAAGTAAAATATCATTGCTAATTAAAATTTATAAAACGCATATATTAAACCAGATATTTATAAAACCCTCTTGAAAATACGAGCAATTAAACACAATCGTGGTGACAACATTCGCTCAGTTTGAAAATAGTATTTAGTTTTTATGAAGAAAGATTTATATTGAAATTCACGTTTTCGATGATCGAATATTTGTCATTCATGTTTAAACACAATTGAAGAATAGTAGTCCCAGTCAGTGGTTGGAAAAACTACATTATTTTTGCAGTTAACTACAACTATTTTATTACAAATGTAGTTAACTACAGCTACAACAACTATTTTTTTAAATGTAGTGACTACAAACTACTTTTGAAATGTAGTCACTACTTTTAGGAGACGAATTTTGCTGGAAAATCTCATTTGCATCCATGTTCGGAACGATTTTGGAATAAAAAATTAGCTTATTTAAACATAAGGGATAGTTTAAAAAATATTTATTCATGTTTACATGAGCCAATTTGTTATTCTAAACCATTTCTTACGATTTCGTTCTTTTAAACTTTACTTTTTATGTCTTTCTCGACAGCGAATAATCAGTTTAAGAAATGCTAGAAAATAATCAATAATTGAAAATTCGCATGTGTATAATCAGCGTTGCCTTTTTACCGGCAGAAACTGCTTTTTACCATGCCAGTGGCAGAAAGTGGTTATAACAGGTAAAAACTGGCAGAAACTAAAAAAAAGTCTATATTAGTTCTAGTAATTGCTTAATGGCATTTTGTTTAAGTAAACTGAAAAATGAATTAAGTAAAGAGAATCTTATAGCTGTTTATAAAAAAGAAGTGACATACAGATTTAAACAGGCAGTTACTGATTATCATTTGCTAACTTATATGCTACATCCAAAGTATTTGGGATTGAAATTATTATGTGCTCAAGAAGAAAGTGCCAGAATTTTACTCGCCAATATTAACCCAGATTTTATCTTATGTCAGACGTACCTTATGTCATTGTTTTGCAAAACAAATCGGCCCCATTTCCTGAAATTTATTTTTCAAGTCAAGTTTTGACAACTACCCCAGCTGCTACATGGTGGTCCAGTTTAAAAAAAATGCAATAGATGAAAGTTTCACAAATTTTGCTTGTTTCTTGATGGTAATACCTGCTAGTTCTGCTGGACTTGAGAGAATCTTCTCAAATTTCTCGTTCGTGCATAGCAAATTGAGAAATTGTTTAGGTTTAGAAACTGCATCAAAACTTATCTTTTGTTATAGATTACTGCAGAGTGCAAACAATGTGATATTTGATTTTGAATGGTGATAATTTTGTAAATAAATTGTACTTTGTTCAACATTTAATTGTTTTTTTTTATGAATTATCCATTGTATGTCAATCTCAGTAATTATCTTTATGTCATTTTCTGAATTTCTGCCACAAATGTGGCAGCAAAGGGTTTCTGCCATACCAGTTTTAACCGGTTTCTACCAGAGGTTTTAACCACCTCGGCAGAAACTTGCCAACCTTGTGTATAATGCTCTTTTATTAACTTAAAGAAATAAAGCACACCGAAATTAACAAAGAAAATAACTGCATTGAAATAACGCCGTCGTAACGTCGTCGTTGTTTTCATGAGTAAATGAATTAGCATTTGAAGAGGTAATAAATTAGCCAGTATCCATATCGGCTAGTTTAAATATTATTAATACGTAATTCTTATTGCTCAGCCACAAGGGCATTCTGATTAAGTTTCATTACAATTCTTCCTGCGAAGGATTGTATCAATGACATTCGAAAAATTAGCTGTGTTTAAATCTTATTTCTTTACTTAACTAACGTTAAAAGTAGTTGCCAGAAATCACTACAAACTACTGTTTTCTTGTAGCGCACCACTCACTACATTACTTTTTTAAAAAGAAAANACTGAAAAATGAATTAAGTAAAGAGAATCTTATAGCTGTTTATAAAAAAGAAGTGACATACAGATTTAAACAGGCAGTTACTGATTATCATTTGCTAGCTTATATGCTGCATCCAAAGTATTTGGGATTGAAATTATCATGTGCTCAAGAAGAAAGTGACAGAATTTTACTCGCCAATACTAACCCAGATTTTGTACCTAATGTCATTGCTCTGCGAAACAAATCGGCCCCATTTCCTAAAATTTATTTTTCAAGTCAAGTTTTGACATCTACCCCAGCTGCTACATGGTGGTCTAGTTTTAAAAAATTATGCAATGGATGAAAGTTTCACAAATCTTGCTTGTTTCTTGATGGCACGTTAAAAGTAGTTTCTTGATGGCCTTAACTAACGTTAAAAGTAGTTGCCAGAAATCACTACAAACTACTGTTTTCTTGTATCGCACCACTCACTACATTACTTTTTTTAAAAGAAAAAGTAACACGCTATACTACAAACTACGAAAAAAGTAGCAACTACAGTAGTTTCGCTATTTGTAGCGTGCTACTTTCGACCACTGATCACGGTCATAGCACCTAATTTATAAAAGTAAACTTAGTGCAATTTGGAAGCAGTAAGTATTTAACTATTGAAAAGAAAATTCTTTGTAGAAATTGAAATTCCTGACGATGAAATACTTATTATTTACGCTCAAGGACAATTGAAAACAATCTTTGTCTCGGCACCAAATTTATCGAAGCAAGCTTTGAACATTTTGAAAGTGGTATTTAATTTTTTTTAAAAAGTGATCCAGATCGAAAAGTTCATGTTAAGGAATAATAATTATAATCAATATTTAAAGATAAAACATTTTTTAGCAAAATAAAGAAATAAGAAAATATGCTTTTAAAGATTGTTATATCGGGTATTGACTAATTTTAAAAATTCAAAACTGAAGCTGAATTAGTTGAAGTTGATCCAAGTAAAAATTCAAGTCTATAGTGAAGGATAATATTTATTGTTCATGTATAAAGACAGAACATCTATTTTACCAAGAAAAAGAAATAAGAAAATATACTTATAAAGACTATTTTATCGGATACTGACTCTTTCTTAATATTCAAAGTTGTTAGCTAAATTAGTTGAAGTTGAACCAGGTACAAATTCAAGTTCATGGTGAAAGATCATATTTATCATTCCTGTTTGAACACAGAGCATCATTTTAACCAAATAAATAAATAAGAAAATATATTATACAGATTGTTTCATTAGATATTGACTGTTTCTAAAAATTAGAAATCCCAGCTAAATTAGTTGAAATTGAATCAGGTACAAATTCAAGTTTATGGTGAAGGATAATATTTATCATCCATATTTAAACACAGAACATATGTTTAACAAAATAAAGAAATCAGGTTATATTCTTATAAAGGATGTTTTTAAAAATTCAAAGTTGAACTAAACAAGTAGGAATTGTATAAAAAAAAGAAAATTGCTTTTATTATTTTTAGAAAACTGAAGAAGGATTTCTTCTAAAAAAAACAACTTTAAAATACAAATTAATGGAAAGAAAAGATGAATGCAACAGAAGTTTGGTCAAGTAACAACATTTAAGACTTATAATTAATTAACTGGTTTCTTTTTTGTAGGTGAATGTGGTTCTTACCACAATTATCCGTGCTCTTTCGGTATATTTTGGTTCAATTCTTAGCGGTTGAGGCTTATAATAAATTAACTGATTACTTCTTTGTCAGTTAGCGTGATTCTTGCCACAATTATGTTTGGTTTTCTTTTTATATATTTAGGCTCAATTAGCGACATTTAAATCTTATAATTAATTAGCTGAGTGTTTCCTTGCAGATGAACTTGGCGCTTGCCACAATTATCATTGCTATTTTGGTATATTTTTGTTCAATTAATAGCATATAAGGCACTTATAATTAATTCACAGATTGCTTCTTTGCAGGTGAACGTGGTCCTTGCCACAATTATCTTTGCTATTTTGGTGCTATTTGCGTAGTGAAAGGTGGCTATGCAATTTGCGAATGCCCAGATTGCAATGAAGAATATGAACCCGTCTGTGGAACTGATGGAGTATCTTATACAAATGTGTGCAAACTAAAGCAAGCAGGATGTGCTCAAAAATCAATCATTGATGTAGCATATACGGGACTTTGCAGTATGTATAATTCATTTATTTTGGTACGACTGTGTTTCCGAAGGCCGTAAATAAATTATCAAGCTATTATTGGCGATATTGATGATTAGTTAATTGAGGTAATAAGTACTATGATAATAGGGATTTATTGTACTAATGTATGAACCTAGGCAACAACATGAACCTAGGTTGACAACAGAAAGGCTCCTGTGGGCTTGTAGACAGTTTGTGGACTGTGTGTCCCCTGAAGAAGTGCTGTCTTACAAACACACATGTATACTATTTTATTATTTTTTTCCTGCTTTAAAATTTGTTTGAATATTTGAATACCTAGGTATTGTGGTAATAGGTTTCTTAGGGTTCCCGGAAATGTAGGAAAAAAGGTTTAGAGTTCAAAAAAAAGGTGTCTCAAACTATATTTTACAACCTCCAGAGTGTAAAGCAGTAACAGGTTGAGAAAACTGTATTTAAAATTTCAATTTTTAATTTTATAACGTAAATGTTTTTATTTAATAAAATTATCTTTTAAACCATAATATTGTAAAGTCGTAAAAATAAATTTAGCTCAGTTTCACAGTTCATATATAAGCCCAGTTTATTCACTTTAGTTCAACAAATAAGTATTTGAGCTTGACTCATGAGGACAATTATTAAGTCAAATTCAATTTCCTTGCGCTAAAAAAGAGAAATATGATTTCTTTAGTGCAGTGATTCTCAACCTGTGGGGCGCGCCCCCCTAGGGGGGCGCGAGCACACTAGAGGGGTGGCGCGAGAATGTTATAGAGAAAATATTATTTAAAAAAAATTTATTAAGTGGATGAAATTAAAGCGCATATACTCTTAGAAAACAAAATACATTTCGACATATTTAACAACTTTTTAAAGTAAAAAAACATATTAAATCAAAACTTAGGTGGGGAATCAAAGGTGGCTTTGCTTTGAGGATTTTTCCTAATTTTCTGGTTAAGTCTGTGCGGCTGAAATTTTCGTTGTAACATCTTACCCTTATCTCTAACACATATCACGTATACTTTTAATTGTAAAATAAAATTCCATTTATTTTATAGTATAACTTCGAAATTGTAGCTTCTGCGCCTATGGTTTCCCACAGGTTCCAAAGGTAGGCCATAAATTGAAATCACTTTTTCACTTACTCAAATTGTCTTTAGAAAGGGCACTTGGACTGGCAAACGTCTTTTAAAAAGACACCTTAAGTGCCTCGCTAGTAGGGCCAAGTTTTTCGACTGTAAAAAAGGTATTTGTTTTTAGAGTGCATTATTTATTTATCTATCATTTACATTGATAGTTCCTGTGTGACGTCACTAGCGATTCTTTTGAGTTAACTCATTAGAATAAAACAAGATATACTGAGTTAGTTCGTTCGAAAGGGTTAACTAACCATAACTAATAAGTAAGATTTAAATAAACATACCAGAGTTAACTAACCCATAACTAATGCAAAAAATACCCAAATTTGCAAGAAAATACCAGAATTTGCCACAAAAACGCTTATAACTACCATGAAAATACTGAAAAATACCTGAAAAATTACTTTAAGGCAAACAAAATAAAAAAACTTGAAACAAAATATCGCAAACTCTACNACCGGCAACGTTAAGATAAAATGTTAAATATTTTTTTAAAATTAGTTTCATATTATTTAAATGTCAAATATCTATGGAAAAAGAATTTTCTTTTGTTTCAAAAAAATTTCTATTTTATCATTTATGAACAAATTTTAATTTTACAAGATGTCAATTATAGCATAAATTAAAAAATAAATTTTACGAATGCGGCCCTATGTTGTAATTGATCGAATTAATAATAATTGATCGAATAAGAAACAATTTTGCAATTTCTTTGAACCTGTTAAATTCGAAAAATTCTCTTCACACGAACAATTGTGTTTTACAAAACTTTAATAGTATTTAACGTTTTTCAAAATTATTATTATTAAGTTTTGAGAGTTTTTTCAAAATTATTTTTTTTGTTTTTTCTTAATTTTCTCGTGCTAACTTAATTTTCTAATTTTCTGATGCTCTTTAAATTTTATTTGCATCCATAAAATTTTGGAAGTCTCTGTTAATGAATGCAAGTTTCTAAATTCCTAATAATAAATTTCTAATAGGTATAATTTATTCAGTTTTTAATGTTCGTTAAATTTGAATCTACATATTCTCAATTGCAGTTAAATAAATTTATTGTAAAAAGCTAGAGCTTTTAGAATATTTTTAAAAATCCAATTAACTTTCTAAGTTTTCAACTAATGACAAGCGATTAAGATAATTTGATGCTTTGATAACAGACACTTAATTAACTTTGCTTTCATTCTGTTTTAATTATTTTATTGGTTGAAAAAAGTAAAAAACAATAAAAACCGTTCATCGAGAATTGCAGTTAATAAATGGGTTTTTAAAACTGATGAACAATGAAAAGAAAAAACACTTTTTTATCGGTAAAAATATTAAAATCGGATTAATAACAATATTGCAAAGAAAATATTTACAATAAAAGGAAATACTGTTTATCACTAATAAATAAAAAAAAGACTTAGAATTTTTTACTGATGATAAATATATTATTGTGATCAAAGTAATATTATTGCTTCAATATAAAAATAAGTGCTATGAATTAAAAATAATTTTTTGTATTACGTATCTCATTATTGGATAAAAAAATCTTTGTTTTCAGCAAAATCACTGACTGTATCTCTGAAATTATTGCAGTTTGATAAAAACTGCTTGAATTTGATAGAAATAACTACACTATTTTGATCATAACTACGTCATTGGTTAAAGTTACATAATCATGATAAAAATCACATTATTGCGTTCAAAATCACCATGGTATGTTCAAAAGTGCATTTTGTAACCTAGATAACAATTTTTAACGAAAATTAAAATTTTTATATCTAAATGACATTTTGTCAGTCAAAACCAAATTTTTGTAACCTAGATAAAATTTTTCCTACCAAATAAATTACAATTTTTATATCTAAGTGACATTTTGTCAGCCGAGATCGCATTTCAGCAACCAAATTTACATTTATTACCAATCTCACTATGTTGAAATAAAAGTTCAACCGTTCATTTAAGAAAAAGGCATTTTTCTAGTTAAAAGTGCATTTCTTAAATAAAAGTCACATTTTTGACTTCAAGTCGTATTTTTCTAGTCAAAATCCCATCTTATTTTCATTTGTGATATCAGATCACATTTTTTATATAAAAGGACCGTCTTTGTGCTAAAGATATTTTTAAATAACTTTTGAAATGAATACCAACAGAAATAGAAGCTTTATTTACTTATTTATTTTATCAAAAATACTAAAATGCTTTATGATAGTTGTATGCTGTATTATAGTATTTATTATAGTTTATAGAAGGAATTAAAGTTTGCTTAATAGAAAACTTTAATTATGCTATAAATAATACAAATACTTCAAAAGATTTGCAAGAATGAGAAAGAAGTACATTAATCTTTTATTGATTGTTAAACTTTAATACAGTCAAACTTTAATATAGTGAACCTTCAAGGGACCGAAATTTCGGTTCACTATAACTGGGAGTTCACTATATCCGTTACGCAGGCAATTTCACTAATGGTTCCCAAACTGCACCTTTTTATTACATTATATTAATATAAATGACTGAAAAATATTATGTAGTAGCAAAAAATTTATTATTTTTCATCACTCTTCGTCTTGCGTACAAATAAAAATTAGTAATCCTTAGCTGATGAGCAATCCTCAACATCAGATATAGAAACACTTCCCGACTCTCAGATAATTTTTCCTGAATTTCTGTTATTCCGCTTTTTAAACCTGTCTAACCTGCCATTCGAGCACATAAGAGTAGTTTCTATAGATGGTTTTAAAAATTGGTATATGTATTTATTTTAAAGTAGAAATTTCATAATTATTACAAAGAAAATGGAGGGGGGAATCAGTCGAAGACAGAAAAAAGTTCATTATATCCAACTTCCTCACTTTTTTGGTTCACTATATCCATTAAAAAGAACATTATACGTGTATATCAAGGCACGGGACCGAGCATTTCGTTCACTATATCCGGGAGTTTACAATAAGCCGTGTTCACTATAGCGGGGTTTGACTGTATTACAAATTTTTAAATTATTTTTTTAAACAGATTTAATTTGAGGCAATGGTATTTCATACATATTAATCTTTCACCTGATTTTCTATTAAAAATTTATTATTTTTTGAAATAGGAATAGCATTTGCTTTTAAGATAATTTACTAACATTTGCGTTAAATAAAAAAAAATTCTAAGCGATAGATAGCGAGTTAAATCTGTTTATAATAAGACAAATTCGATGCATTAAAAATTACTTAATTTATAATGGTATTTATTTGGGTAAATAATTGAATGCCTAAATAAATGTAATTGCTTTGAAGTTTGTTGAAAAAGAAAGAAAACAAACGAAAAAAAAAACGTGCAAAGAGTTTTTAACTTAATAATCTCTAGTTTTTTTGTGTTTATAAATATTTACTCTTTCTTTCAACAAATGCTTTACTGATTAAAAATTTGATGAGAAAAAAATCCTGTTAAAATTGCCGTACTGCATAGCAATGACATTTCCGATAAAAGAAAAAATGATAATTTTAGTATTAAAAACAAAAATATGCAGTGTTTAAACGAATCATTTGGTAATATTTTCGTTCATATGGTAACGATTGACAAGAAATTCTGGTTTTCAAAATTATAGTTCTTATTACTACACATTTAGGAAAAAATACAAAACTGAAAAGTAAATTAAACCGAATAAATGGTTTCTATGCCATGCTTTAAAGTATCATAATAAAATTACCAGATATACATAATTTTATTACATATTATAAAACCATATTTTCTTGTTAATTTTACCAAAATCCTTACCTGAGCAATTTGGTAGAAATTGATGACAATTTTGATGTTCCCATGGAGTACCGTATTCTGCTTGTAGATTTAACCATACTTTTTATCTCTGCTGTCTTTATCAGAATAAGAATTTAAAAATTATTT